ACTTATTTATTATGTACACTGAGTATTGTGTCAGGCACTGGCCTAGGTGCACTGGTAAGCATAATCTATAGCTTAGGGTCTCTTGAGGCTAGTTTTCATTCTTCATGGAAATGGTTCTCAAACTTTGGCAATAATTTCAGAATTACTTACAGAGCTTGTTAAAACACAGATTACTGGACTGCATTCCCAGAGATTCTGATTCAGAAGATTTGGACTAGGGACCAAAAATCTGCATTTCTAACAAGTTTTCGTGTGACAGGGACACTGCTGGTCTGGGGATGACTCTTTGAGAACCGTGGACTTATAGATTATCCTGAATTTAATGGAGGAAAATGTGAAAAAAAATTGTTGTTAATGGCAAATTAAGATTTTCTTAAGTGGATAACTCTCTCTCATGACTTTAATGATGGTTAGAATGTATTTTGTAGTCATAACAATGGAAAAATAGCATACAGTATGACAAAGCCCAATAAAGAAAGAGTTTTCATCTTACCACTATAGTCTGAGAATTTTTTTAGACCTTAAACCAATTCACTGGAAGAAGTCTAAACAGCATAGAGCCCTAAGTACTAAATAATGCACTGGTCCAAATCAGTGCTAAAGGATTGCCAAGTTGAAATCCAACATGTCATTGTTTTTCTCATGCAGCCCACCACTGCTTCTAATTATAATCAAAATATTCATATATAAATAACTAGATTAAAAGGAGATGCTGCCTATCTTGCAGTTAGGTTTATTTTGATAATATTGAAAACATGATCATTGACATGGTTTAAAAATTCACAGCTTTAGTTTTGTGTGGCCAAATATTTTGATGAAGTTAGAATTTAGTCTAAAAGTCATGGATTGTCAAGAACAATGTAGTTTGTGAGACCAGATTGGAAATTTTATCCCATTTGGAGAGAAATCTGTAGTGCTTTCAGACTTGGCATTAGAATTCTCTTCAACTAACTTCTTTCCTTATCACCCGGGTCTAGCCAGTCCTAAATTCTCTCAAATCTTCCTTGCAGCAGTAGCTCATATTCCCTTCCCTTGTGCTTTTGTGTAGATCTTTACTTCCTCATGAAAATTCTCTAAGCTCATTTCACTTACTCCTGTTTATCACAGTTTGAAACACCTCCCCTATTATAGCTTAGACCAATCCAAACCTTCCCAACATAAATATTTCTCTCTATTTCCCTCCTTCTCCTCTGCCCTTGTAAATATGCAAATCTCTCCCATTCAGAAACAATGTATTTAACCAATCTCCTCTTGTTGAATACTGAATTTGTTAACCAGTGTTTTTATTTGATAGTATATCCTGCTCATTCTTTTTCTCAATGAATATAAGAGCTATTATTGTGGCACATTCATAGATGGGATAAAATCTACCTATTAAAACAATGTTTAAATCTTGACATGGAAAGATGTTTGAAGTATTTTTGAGGAAAAAAATATCCTCACAACTAGAAGGACCCACAACTAAAATATACAACTATATACTGGGGGAACTTGGGGAGAAAAAGCAGAAAGAAAAAAAAAAGGAAGATTGGCAACAGTTGTTTGCTCAGGTGCCAATCTTTAAAAAGACAAAACAAAAATATCTTTATACTAGACAATTTATAGCATATTTCTTTCTTAGCTACAAATAGGTATATGGCAATGGTCCGCTCTGGGTGGTTGGATTGGAGTAAGATTTAATTTTAATGTCTACTTGTTTTTGGATGTTTTCTAATAAATGTGTATTATCTGCACAATAAAAGTTATTAAGTACCTAGAAAAATAAAATGAAAATATGCCTACGTGTGAAAGTGATAGCAATTAGGAAGTTGAATTTTTTCTGCTTTTGTATATTAAAAATTTACTTGAAATTCAAATTTAGTATTAAATAGCATTTAATAGTATTAAATAGTATTTACATTTAGTATTAGAGGGTATAAAATTAATGTTTAATTAAAAATTATATTTAGTTTATGTAAATATATGCCAAACCATGTATAATTCCAATAATATCACTTTTCTGTGAAGAAACTTCAGGACTTGCTTTTTCCTGGTAACCAAAGTTCAAACAGCTTAGCCTGTAAATCAAGCTCTCCATAACCTGGGACCTGTAGATTATTGCCTTTCATTGTCCAATACTGCATCTCAACAAGATTTCAATGTTTGATGGAACCCCCGCTCTTTTCTGCTTTACCATTTCCCTAACTCTCCCTGACCTCACCTTTCCACATGTGACACTCACCTTTCCTCCAAGGCTTAGGGCCAAATGCTATCCTCCATGGACCTGGTCTAGTCTAACTGCAGTATCTGAGTGCACTTAGTATTTTGTTTTTCATTTTTAAGGTCTGTTCACGTCTTCCTGTGTAGTATGTATGCACATGTATCAGCTCCTCAACTTTATTTGTTATACCTGCTTTTTGGGGTATGGGGATGTAGTTAAACTACTAAAACTAGTTAAACTAGTAAAATCTAACCTCATGAAACATATCACCAGTCAATTATGGAGAGAAAAACAGATTTGGGTATGAATCCTGCCTTGGCCACTTACTAGCTGTATACATTTATACAAGGTTCTTAACCTCTCTGTGCTTTGATTTCCTTATTTGAAAAAAATTGAGGGAAATGGTATTTAGTATTGCTGAGGAGTCAGTGAGACAAATTATATAAAGAATACATCATTAGTTAAAGTACAGATTATCTGCTACAACATCAAATGCTGTGGTTTAGCTAAAAGGATTGTTTCTCTACCAGGGATCAGTCTTGAGGTGAGCAGCCAGTAGCTGAGGGGGAAGCTCTAACCATTTCAGCACAGGGTTTCCTTTTCCAAGACAGATGCTCCAGTTGTCCCAGACAACAAACAGAGGGAAAGAGGAAGTGAGACCTGCGGTTGTACATATCACTTCCTCTCCCATCCCATTGGCTAACATAGTCCTGTAACCACATTTAGCTACAAAGGAGTCTGAGTAGTCTCAGGTGTGTGCTCTGCTGAAACTCAGGGGGTAGGTCCTATTACTAAAGGGGGAAGGGAAGAATGGGGCCAAATGACACTCATAACAAAATCAGGGTTCTGAGCCTGAAAGATATAGCCCAAACCCAACTGGGATGAATTTTCAAAAGTAAAAGCCTTGTGGGCCGGCCTGGTGGTGTAGTGGTTAAATTTTCATGTTCACCTTCGGCAGCCCAGGGTTCTCTGATTTGGATGCTGTGGTGCTGTGGCAGCATCCCACATAGAAAATAGAGGAAAATTGGCACAGATGTCAGCTGAGCGACAATCTTCCTCAAGCAAAAAGAGAAAGATTGGCAAAGATGTTAGCCAAGGGCCAATCTTCCTCACCAAAAAAACCACAACAGTGCAACCCTTCTATCTATAGTTGTGCTACACATAACTTTTCCTTCAAACTATTAAAACTCCTTAAAGACAGGGAATCTTTCTACATGTCTTAAACTTTTAATGTGTCCCCTCACCTACTTTACTTTCTCCCTCAGTTAAATAAAGAAAAACTGCAACACAAGAGTATTTCATAAATTTCGGTTGTTTAAATATGACTCTCAACATGATATATTTGTATCAAGGTGATGGTAGAAGTCTCTGGCTGGTAGAAAAAGCCTGATTTATCTTTTAGCTAAGTTTTCAGTTCTTTGTAATTAAGATATTCCTTCTGCTTCCACCATTGGGCAGCTGTTGAAAGGGAAATACAGCAATTAGGATAGCCCCACGTCTTTACCATTGGCCCTACAATTTTCTAGAAGTAGTAGCTTTTTGGAATTATGTAATGTCCTTTACCAGTGACAAAATATGGATGTTATTACAGTTCCTTGTGTGACGTGTGCTGTTGTCTTACAGCTCTGAGGGTCATGCAGCACACAATGGTAAATAAAGAAGCATTCTGTTCATTCTTAGATCTTTACATTTTTATTTTAAAACATAAAATTTCATATCGGTTAACACCTACTTTTAAACACAATGATGCATTAATTAAATGCCTTGTCATAACTGTTATAAGCTCTGTTAGAAAAATAAACATCTCACAACAAACTACAGTGTCAGCTCTTTAATAAATACATAAAACAGAAGTTAGTAGTCAATCAGAATTATATGAACAGGTTCATAGTATATTATGTAAAGTTATCATATTCCCCAATTTTCTGTGTCATTTAAGGCGACTTAACTTTATGTATAATTCAAAGCCAGAAATAATAAGAAACTTGTTTAATGAGAATTTGTTTCCTTTTTAGAGCTACTTTGTATTCAAATATTTTAATTTAAAAATATTCTATATTAATTCTTTTTACAAAAACAAGACTTGTTAAATGAAACAAATAAGGTTATATTATTGATAATTTAAAAACATTTCTAAAATTTTTTTATAGAGGTTTAAAAAATTTAAATGAAGTAGCTAGTAAATGCAAAATAGTTTTAAAGTTACGTTAAATATACACAAAATGAATTACTATATTAATATGTGCAAATTTATATTTTCTTATAATTTAGAATTAAAATATTTTATATTCAATATTCTTAATAAAATCTATGTACCATACTTGTCATTGTGTAAAATACTTATCAAAATCACATTTATCCATGGTACAGTGTAAAGTTAGCAAAAGTTCTTTACACGACACACACATTTTCCATCCTTGATGACTGCAGTGTTTTTTTTTTAAACTATTGTTGGATAAGATAATTTTAACTGAAGTAGGTTGTAGAGATTAGAAACCTGATTAATAGAGTTAGTTTACAAAGATAAATTTTATATGGGAAAGTATTCCAGGTAGATAAAGGAGTAGTGTTATTACTCTCAGGTATTTCGTTAACAGCTGCCAAGATAGCTAAACAATTGTTTCATATAATTCAAATAACTTAAATATGCAGTTTTATGACAGTCATTACATGGGCTTGAAGGTAAATTTATCAGAGCCAAGGAAAAAATCAAACAAAAGAACAGAAATGGTAAAGAAGAATTAAAAAAATAGGAGGACTAGAAAGGCAAGTATTTTTCCCACAGCACTGATTGGTTGTATCATATTTTTCTCCTGTCATTGACAGAAGACATACAAGATGCTGCAAAATCTAATTATGATGGTTTCATGTAATATTTTTCCAGTTCATTCTGTGTGAAAATGAGATGATCATATGAAAGTATTCCTTAGAAAGGAATAGAAAGAATAAAAATTTGTTAATGAAACTGGGAGAAACCTAGCATGAAGTATAAACGAGAGGTTGAAAGAGCTTTTACAACCTAAAGGTCTGCAGGATCTGAGCTGAAGTCAGACGGTGAGTCTCCACGTTGAGTTGCATGTGATTCAGTTATACTGAAAATTGGCTTCCTATGTTATCACATATGGGTTCTCAAATATTTATAAGAAAAGGAATGTCCCTATACCCTTGAACATTTAGTTAAAGATGAATTAGTGTAATATTTACTCAAGCACAACCTTAAACACTGCATCTAAGATGCCAACGATTGCAAGATACATCACAATTTCAGAGATATTAAATTGAAAAAGTGGATGTCTTAGAATCAATGATATATAAATATGTATAATCAATTACCCATAATAAATTTGCCATAGAGGAATTATAAAAGAAAAGGGAAGTGATCTGAAAGAACGCTAGTTTCTTTGAAAATATATATCAGTTTAAATTGCATGAAATGGAGTTCTTAAGTTCACTATAGATAAGGATAGTTCTAACTTAAATGTTAAGAGTAAATAGAACAATACAATATGCACATGATTGAACTCTCAAGTAGCTATATTTCACTTGATACTTTTATTAAAATATATAGATCTCAAATCCTTTAAAAGTGAAAAGCTCAAACAGTTGTAAAAATTTAAAATTCTTAGTTTTTAATGAGTCTGTCTTTCTTCAGGTGCATAGAATCAAATGAGTTTTAAAATCATTGAGATGTTTGAAAATGAAGAACTTCATTATATCATTACATTTATTTTTCACAATTAGGATTTTTGAGCTTGAAGTTTTAGGGCAATCTCTTAGGAGAAGTGAGTGGAAAAAAGAGTAAAGAAAGGAAGGAAAAGCCACTGAGTCTCATTTACTATGCCAGGTACCAGGAGGAATATAATTCTATGGAGAAAAATTTTCAGAGTCTATCATAATCATATTTCAGTGTCTCATGGATGCCTGTTGTCATTACATATGAATATCTTCAATGAAGATTAAGTATATATTTTAAAAATACTTGGAATTTATTCTTTAGTGAAGTCTTACATCTGATGTATCCACTAATTTTGAGTTTTAAAAAATTTGTCTCCAGAGAAATCTATTCTGTTTAACTTTAGACTTTTTTAATCTTTATAAACCAAAGCTAAATTGAACATTTAGAACATAGTAAGATTTTTAGTGAATTTTTGAGTCTTGCAGAGAATACCTATGACTTCATAAATATTAATAAATTTCCAAAAAAGATATCAAAATGCTTGTAAATCCATGTACACTGCAGTGTAAAGATGTCCCCAGAGAAATAAAATGCATGGAGTTATATTGTAGTGTATATATGGCACATTTCTAAATCATTACAATACTTTAGGGCACAGAAATACTGTCGTACCAAAAAGTGTTCAAGTTCTTAACTTTGTTAACTATTTAAAATTTCTTTACTTGTGTTTAATATCAGTGAATCTCAAAAGGCTCCTGTGGTCATATTAGTTGAAAATAGGTTCTATTTACATAAATTATTTAATCTAAGAATACCCTGTTCTCCCTTACCTTTTAATTAATTCTAGCTAGTCAAACATTAATTCTCTTCTCACAAGCCATTATACAGGAAAATATCAATTATTCAAGTAAAATATAAGCTCTAAAATGTTTAAGAATTAGACCTTTAAGTAAAAAAAGAAAGAACAAGACATCACAAACATAACTGCAATCATCATCTAGCATTGAACTGCCTATCAGGAAGTTTGTCCCTTGCTAAGATAACAGCCTTGGTCTGTTATCAATTAGTGCAAACTAGTCAGAGTGTAAAAATATAAATCCTTGATTTTTAAGGGTTTCGTTTTATTATGCTCTTTTGGATAATTCATACCACATGGAAATTAGTTTATGAACATTGTAATGTTCACTTTTTAAAATGTCAACATTTTAATGAATGGATATTTTTTACTTTTCCCTTTTGAGGGGCTGTCTACCATTTATTTTCCTTTAAAAAAGGATGCTGTATGTGACAGGCAAGCCAAAAAATATGATTTTTAAATTATCCTTGGTGATTAAAAGTATTTTACACAAGTGAGTCACCATACTGAATTATATTAATGTCCCCAATCTCTCATTTGGGGAAGGAAATACAGTTCAACTTAGCGTCATAATTGCTTCTCTGTAGGGGACGGCTAATGGAGCTGCTGTGTTTGTTGGCTCCAGAACAACTTATTATATGTTTTTAAATCCTCTTTATGGTAGAATATGGAGTGGGGGTTAGTTTTCATTGAAATGCAAATATCTAGTAATTTGATCAACTCAAGTGCTGGAAGACAACAAATCTGAGAAGATAATTATAAAAAGATGTTTTAAATAAATTCCTTTTTTTATCATAGGCAAAGCTCTGTACTGCACACAGGACTGTTGGGCTTCTAGTCAATAAAATCAGACTGAGTATGTCTATAGGGATATGGTAATTGTGAAGAAGTTTCCATTGGGGAAGTTAAATGTTCATGGCCTCTGTAGTATCAAGCTCTTGGGCTGAACACCACACAACTCCAGGGGGCACTGTTCACACAGGCTATGGTATGACTGGGTTTCCCTGAAGTTAGGCCATGCTGAAGTCTCTCGGAAGCTAATTAGCAGGAAAGACTGGAAGCCAATCATGGACATTTCAGTTTGAATTACTCTTTTCTGCTTTGCTTTGTAATTTTCTCATGCCCATATACTTAAGACTTGAGTAAAACACATTTAAAAATACTTGCCAATTGAACATTTTAAAGATTTAAGAGGTAGCATGATATTGTGCAATGAACACTGACCTGGTAAGAAGATAGAAGTTCTCTTCAAATGCTGCCGCTTAATCACTTGGGTGGTTTTTGAGAAATCATTTAAACTTTCTGAGCCTCGGTTTCCTGACTGACTAAAAGGGTGAATTAGCTTATTTCTAAGATATTGTCTATCTTCCTCCAATTGTATACTTTTAGAATTCTGGTGAGTGGAGTTGAGGTGATTCAGGGAAAGAACGTCCTTAGGCTTTATTGAAGGGCAAAAATAATATAGCTTTTAATGTAAGAAATGCTAATATCAGCTTGGAGTAAATATCTAAGAAAAATCATTAAAAACTGTGGCACTTTGTTTGAGGCAGAGTTTCTAAATATCTTGTGAATTTCAACCTGATGATTAGATAAATGAAGTGGTGAAGAATCTATCCAGTTTACCAGATAAGAAGATATAAAACTCTACATCTGCAAACAACGAAGCTGTTCAGATTTTGATGTTACTTTACAGTGTCCCTTATTAAATATTCAGCTTTTAAAGCCAGTATTCTAATAAAGTGACATTGTATTATCAGGTTTTTATGGCAGTAGTAACTTAGCACTTATTTAATCCAGTCATCTATGACATATATAAACTTATCCTGTAAGAAAGAAAACCAAAATATAAAGGCAAAGAGGAGAGAATGTTGGAATTAGTATCCATCTTGTAAAAAGAAGAAAACATAAACACACATGCATCAAACTACACAGTTTCAAAAGCAATATCCCTCAAGATTAACATTTTATCTGTTCACCTCTTGAATGAGTGAAACACTAGCCATTATTCGTTTAGCTGTTCTTGTCTGTTCACTGCCAATTGTTTAAGTGTTTGGCAACATTAGTATAACTGCATTATTATTTTTTTCATCCAAATGTTCAGTGCAGGGTTTATTATACCCTTGTAGTGACACAATGCCGAAACTATCTCACAGCCTTGTCTCTCTCTGGGAAGCATAGGAATAGTAGGTACCTGTAAAGTGTAATCAGTGCTCTTCAGATGATCTACATTCTATGCTGATCTAAATAAGTTATATATTACAGTAAAGTGCTACAATGACACTAGTCTCAAACAGTAGTAAGACACATTTTTCTCTGAAAAATTCAGCAGCGATATGAGTCACATGGTGATGAGGATGCTTGTCAGTCTTCATTTGAGTGGACAACCAGCAATCAGCATGATCTGGAACAATTTGTCTCCTCCTGTGACTTCTAAAATTATAATTTTTAGGAGCAATACTAAAAGTTCAGTTTCCTATAAAGTACTTTTTATCTTTTAAAAGTTGCACCTGAACGTTTCATGAGCATTTAATTTGCTGATATCCATTTTTATTTCTTCAGGTTTCTCACGTCGGTAAGTTACTGCTCTTGTGCAAACACTTTGCAGAATCAACTTGTCCTTGATGGAGAAGAAATATTACCATCAATAAGGGCCTACATATTGGAAGTAGACAATGACATATTGATAGTAATTCTTTTTTAGAATTCACTGACCTTTTTTGAGGCTGACACTCTGTAATCTGCTGAGGACTTAATTTTATTACTATTCCATTGTAGTATCACCTGTCTAATGATAAGGACTTTAAGCAACCCAATCAAGAATGTAACTATGAAGATGATGAAAAATATTCTCAAGTAGCTTGGGCTAGAGAAACATTCTGCAATGAAGCAAACAAATAAATGGATTTAAAAACTGAAATGAGTAAATCAAAGAATTCTAACAAGTAAACAACGTTCACTATCTCATTGAATAGGACCAGAGATATCTGCAAATCTACGTTTTCAAAACAGAGGACTGCCATTACTGTTGACTCTAAAAATAAACTCTCTAATTTTTATTACACGTTTATTACTAAAATATTTTCAACAGAAAACTCTCCTTTGGAGAATAGCCACAATTAAGGTATTCAATAAAATGATTTCTTTGCAGCTCAATTCTTTAATTGTATTAACTGGAATGTGTCCAAATCCCTTAGCCAAGTATAATTTTATCAATGACAGAGAGAGGGACTGTTTGTGATGCATGCTGTTGATCTCTAAGTGGAAGATAGGATTTAAAAAATTATTTAACAGCTCTGCATATTAGCATATGTTTCTCTTATTATGCTTGCTCTTCGTTTGTTGCACATCAGTAATGGAAAATAAAGTAAACATCTGCAGAAGCTAAAATCACTACTACTTTAATAGACAAATAAATATTTCCTTTGAAATGGCAGTACAAGTTTTCGTTATTGTTACACATAGCTTCTCCAGGGAACAAGAGTGTCCAATTCGGGACAGTATGCAAATCTCTTTCCTCAATTTTTATTAATTTATTTTTCACTTGTCTGTTAACCAAATCTATCCTATTTTGCTTTAAAAAATTCCACTGTGTATTTTTTCAAGAACAAATAATTACTAGCTAGAAAAGGAAATACTGTGTTAAGAGAGGAGGCATTCTAGATCTCTGTTTTAGCTCCAGACCTTTGGCAAATTCTAGCTGGAAAGTCTACAGGCTCTGTGGCTGCCAGAGGTATTACCCTAATCCAAGAGGAACATGGTTGCACAATATGTAAATATTCCACAGAACCCACCAGCTTCCCCAGACTCACAAAATTACCTTCTGGCCTAAAGGTGCATGTTTTCTGCCCATTCTCCAGACTTTGGGGGCTTCACCTAAATGTCTGAAGGTCTCCCTGAGAGGGCCTTTCAGGAGGAGATCTGCCAAGGCTTAGAAGAGCGATCACATAATCATGGGTGATTTATGTCTGAATTCCCAGGGATGACCAAGCATGCTCTTGAATAAGCCAAGAACTCAGTAACAAGGGCAAGGGCTCCTCTCCAAATGGGAAGACTTAGAGCCCAGTTTTCTTTTGGTCAGTCATAAGGTTCCTTGAAAGAAAGACTAAAGGGAGGCTGGAATACTGCTAATTGGAATAGAAGCACCAAACGCTAGTGCAGGTCTCCCTTTGTTACAGGTCTCACACACAGAGAGAATCCAAGATGCTCTAGTCAAAGGTGGCGCCCTTGGGGTCTTCCATGGCAACCTTCAAGTTCATCACATGCACGCCTTTCCTTCTGACAGACTGTCATTTCCCTTGGCTGACTTAGAACTACTCAATCAGCTAAGGCAGATCCTCAAGGGGAGCATGGCTTGGTCCCACTTACTGGCTTCTTGCCCAGTAGGAGCTTAGCCAGGAAGACCAAAAGAACACCCTTTAAGTGTGATTGAGTGGATAGATAATAGAGGTGGCTAACAAATGCCCTTTCCCTCTCCTTGCACAATAGTTGGGAAGGGCAGGGGAGCCCCCTAGCTACTGATACATTTTAGAAATATTTCTAATGGGTTAGGGTAGAGGACATTTTCAGGGCTCAAATCTGTGTGCATTACTTTTAAATGTCATTTTGGATAGCCAAACATTTAGCCCTGGCCATGAATCTTTTCTGAGTTTAGGTCAAGCAAGCTGCGAGCTTTAAGGGGAATACTTTTTGTAACCATGCTTAGGTCAGAGTAGGTTTGTTTACTTAACATAATAAATGACATGCTGACAGTAAGGGCTCTATTTATTAGAAAAGGCACTTGGCTTTCTGGAGTGATTTCTGCAGCCCCAGCTGGCAGCACATGGGCTCTTTTCAGAGCCAAATTCATTATGGGCTAAGAACAGTGTGGATGAGAGGGAAGAAGGAAACAAAACTCTGGAGAAAGTTATTCTGTGCGATCTCTCTAAGAGCTAGAATTATTCTTACAAGTTGGAGGAGAGACTGAAAATAATAGCAGCAGTAGGCATGTCTTCAGTGAAGACATAATTTCAAGCTTCACTTCTAATTCACGTGTCGTTTAACAGCTTTATCTGAGCAAAGAGGGGTGCTGGCTTTTGGGTTCTAACGAACTTTTGTGTAAAAATGATCTTTGGGTACAGCTCTCACATGTTTCTCTCATGTTTATGTCATATTTTAATTTACATGCTTCTTTCATGTTCACTGGCTCATTTAATTTCACACAATTCTTTGAGGTTGGTATTACCTCCATTTTACAGATGAGGAAACAGGCTTAGAGAAATTTTGTAAGAGAGCTGATATTTCTTAGCTACTGGTGTGAAAGGGCATGCCTTAAGCCAAGGTCTTCAGACTAAAAGTGCCATACCTTTATTACAATTCACCCCTAAATTATGTTTATATCAGAATGAAAAGTACCAGGAAAGAATGGCCCTTTTGAAGTTATGTATTTTGCAAAAGCAGATCATTGCTACTCAGAATTTTTTGTCTTTACCTGAAGCTTGAAAGTCAACAATGGTTTGACATGAGGACGGTTATAACTGGAAGAAAGTTTGGGTTATAAAGGATAATTATGGCTCCTCAGATCTTGTCTCTAAGGGTGAAAGGGACTCTAAACAGGAAATTCTTACTCTTGGCTCACTGAGGCCTCTCTAGAAAATCTGTGGTGTGCTTCTACAGAGGTACACAGCATGGAAATTTAGCTGTGTAGTTAAGATGGGAGATCTAAAAAGTCAGCCAAAGCATGGCGAATATACTCAGCTGGTTTTATAGAGTACCATCTCTGGGAGATTGAAAACACTGAAGCAGTTAGTCCTTTCTTTAGGATGGTTGATTCTGGGCGCTTTGGGGGAACAAGAGTCTCCACAGATACTCTTCAGTGCTTTGATTATTAAGCTTTGGTTTACCTGATGTTTGGTCTACATAATGCTGTTCCATGAGAGCACATGAGGTTTTACACCGATCAAGTATAGCTTGAGACAGATTGTGAGGGTGAAGGCATTGCACACAATTCCTGTAAGGGGAAACAAAAGTGAAGACATTGAATCTTTAAAAAGGCTGGAGACAGGCCTGGTGGCACAGCGGTTAAGTGTGCACGTTCCACTTCAGCGGCCAGGGGTTCACTGGTTCCGATCCTGGGTGCGGACATGGCATCTCTTGGCAAAGCCGTGGTAGGTGTCCCACATAAAAAGTAGAGGAAGATGGGCACGGATGTTAGCTCAGGGCCAGTCTTCCTCAGAAAAAAAAGGAGGATTGGCAGCAGTTAGCTCAGGGCTAATCTTCCTCAAAAATAAATAAATAAATAAATAAATAAATAGGCTGTAGCCTGCAGTATTTTCTGCAAGAAATAAAATACCGAAATAGAGTACTACTTTAAGACAGCAGCTTTGTAAAACTGGGAAAGAAAGCTATGACATTTATTTGTAATCTTGGCTCAATTTAGTGCCATGACAAAGTTACATTCGAACCATTTAAAATATTTTAATAATGTATAAAATCAAAATAATGATTTTTCTGTATTGAGAAGAAAATGCCTAGAAAATGAATAAAATACTCTCACTACAAAAAAAAATATGCATAGATGGTTTAAAAGATGAATATTATGATACTACCAGAAAACTTTGGCAATGACTACACAGTTCAAATTTAGTTGGGTTCATTAGAAGTAACTCCATCGTTATGTTTAACTGCTGTGTTTCCAAGTGAGTTACATAAATTACTATGCATAATTTAAACAATTTTACTTGAGCTACCAATCTGAGAAAATGATGTCTTAAAAAATTTGAATAAAACAAATTGGAAGGCACAGTGATGTTTAGAGTAGTGGTCTTTGAGCAGGACTCAAATTGTTATTAGAAAATTAATTATTGGCACAAAACAATAATGCCACCTTCATTTAACTCATCACTTTTCATTTAGCTATCATTTATTTCTAGAGTGCTTTATAGCCACTATAATTCTTTATCTTTAAAATAATAAAAATAAAACAATAATAACAATTAATGTTTATTCTATGATGACTGTGCCCCAAGAACAAAAGTTTAGGTTTTTTTTTTTATATGAATCATCTAATTTGATTCTTTCACAGAACTATAGCAAGGTATTATTATTATTATCCTCGCTTTCGATATTAGGAAACTGAGGCACAGAGAACTTCAACCACTTGCCCTAAACTAAACAGCTAATTAACAGTAAGCTGGGAAGCAGGCAGCCCCTAAATCATCACGTCATACACCTTAAACTTACACAAGGTTATATGTCAATTATATCTCAATAAAGCTGGGGAAAAAACCCCACAATGAACCCTTATGCACACTGAATATTATTCTTTAAAAAAACTCAAATCCTATTTCAAAAAAGCTAAGGCTTTAGCTTTTTATCTAGTGAAAGCCTAGACAAATTCTGATGCTTCCACAGCTTTCTAGTGGCCAAAGATTAGAATCTAAGTCTTCTAATTCCCACATTCCCCATTCAGTTCTTTTTTAGTGTGATGATAGCAATTTATCTGGCGGAGAAGATCCAACAACTTCTAAGAATAAGGAAGGCAGAATAAAAAAGGAAGGACATAGCTATAACAAAGGACCGCTTTATGTATTTTTGGAGTCAGAGAACACATACCAGTTTTCATTGCAGGCTGTGTGACATGTGGGGCAGTGTTCACAGAAGCGGCCGATGCTCTTGGGATCGGTGCACTCACACTTGCCACATACACATGTGCCTCTTCCACTACATACTTGGCCCTTTGGGTTGACACAGTGCTGGGCTGATGCTGATGGGCACTGGCACCGATCCCCTTCCCAGCCACTGAAGCACTGGCATCTGCCCGCTTCACACTCTCCGTGCCCTGCAACAAAGACACTCCAGGACCTAAATTATTGGGGCCACCAACTTTGTGAAGTGTTCCCAAACATGAATTCCCCTCCTATCTCCATGGAAACACACTGACAGTCAAAGTGAGTAGAAACAGCATCATTTTCTACTTGTCTGACATACACAATTCCAGGCCTTAGGAGCATCTCCTATCAAAGTTGTTCTATTATAGATCATCTCCCAATGCTAATCTATTGTGCTGACAGTTGGGAAGTCTGCCCTGCTGCAGTTGCCGCCCTACTACTTGAAGGTCACTGTACATTCAGTTTTAAATTAAAAGTACACAATTATAAAGAAGCTATAAGGCTGAAGTAATGTTAATTGTCTGACTTGAAATCTGAAAAGCAGGGGTCTTTGATTAACAGCTTCCATAATTTATTCTTAGTCTCTTGTTACTGCTAAGGGCCTGGCATAACTTTGAAGGTCTGTGAGGCAGACCCTTCTAGTGCTTCAGTTCTGTTAGTTCCATGTTTAAAGATAAGATCCCCGGGAAAGTTGAACTAGTCCTTTCACGTCTTCAGCACATTATTTAACAGTAGTGGGGCATGTCCTAAATTATGGTGTGAGCTGTGTGTTGGGATTGGGGGCATTTATGCAGACAAATAAGTTGAGGAAAAACACTGTTTATGTGTAATTAAATGGATTTTAGATTGCAGGAAGTCTCCAAAATTTAATATGCTTATGAGGGGGTACATTTTACAGGGTTATATAGTGTTTCTCAAGCTCATTTGGACACAGACCTCCCCTTCCCTCCCCACCCCACCCTTCCTTCCTTTCCTCAATTCCTGACTTCTTCCCTCCCTCCCTTTATTGTGGAGTACCTTACAGGGTAACTGTTCCATAGAGTCTACTGTTGGATTAGCTTAGTTTGCTAAGTGAAAAACTAATGAGGTCCAGGCCAAACAAATGCCGGCCAGACGTCATTCCCGGTATGTAGGCTGCACGCCTAATCCTAGCCGGCTGATCTGTGAACATGTGTTTTTATTCTCAAAGGAGACTAGTGAAGAAAATGCTTGTCAGCCTACAGTTTGCACTTATAACTTACACATAAATAATTCAAAGCAGATTCTTAACTGCCTGTGGGTCAGTAGTACCACAGTGACATAGAAGGGTCAGTACATTGATTTTTGATTTTTTACTATAAGCAAAGACTGGGATTCTTAATGTATTTCAGACTTCTTTGAGAGGTTGACAGCTGTGGGAAATGATCTCAGAATTATTTTTCTTCCCTATCCCAAACAGGATTAGGTCTAAAAAATTAGCAGATAATTGCTGGTTTGTTCTAAAGTCATCTATAATTTGTTCTATCCATGATACCTGGTACACCTGAATAAATGTTTAGAATATAAAATATTCTGTATATATAATAAAATAAAAAAGGCAATTTTCCATCACATATTTATATGATATAGGGCAAATTTTTAGTTTATACAAGAATAGAAAATTTATTTTGTATAGGTTTGTTACTTTCTATATGCTTATGACAATGAGATATTTCAGTTCATCAGTAATTTAATATTTGCTTACCAAAGTGTAAACACTAAAAAAGTGTTTTAACAATAAGTGGATTTAGCACACTGTCATATAAAAGATAATTCATTTAAAAACAATTATTTTGTGTTTTCAAATGTTGCATAGATTTTCTGGAATCTAACCTCTAGGTGGCAATAAACTAAATTAGCTAAAAAATACTTTTGATATTTTATTTTAAATTATTTCATTTTTAAGTTTGGTCTGCATGTAGCTTCTGGAATTAATCTTTTCAATTACTTATGAAACCAGTATTTTCTTGAAGAATGCTGTCTTTGACAATTCCGTTGCTGGCATTGTTCTAAAAATAAACTGGAGATGTTTAAATTGCTACAGATTTACAATACCCTCTATAATAATGCATTAAGAATTTTCCAAAGAATGAAAAGTATATTTTTATAGCTCACTATCTGAGCAAACTGGAGGGAGTGACCACTGATGAGAATGGATCAGATCATTCTAGAAGAACACCCCGATTATAGAAAACTTGTCAGACATCATCAGTAATTTCCTTTTCTGGTATATATCTTTACAAGGTCAAGGCATACTAGAGAATAACAATTAACTTTTGGTTTTTATTTTTAAGTATTTCCTGTACAAAATAATTTAAAATATAAATATCAGAATCATGTGTTATAAGTCTGTTGCCATGCTCTAATTTCACAGACTTTGAAATTTTAAATATTAAATCTAGATTCAGGGTTGGTAATTATAAAGATGTGATTTAAAGATACTTTAACATATATGGTAGTTTAATAATGACTAGTAAAAACTTCATGTATATATTTATACTCACCCGCACACAGATTTCCCTGGTGGTATGGACAAGAAAAGTCATCCTTTTCACAGTATTTTCCATACACTTTTCCAAGCTTAATTTTGTGACATAAACATTTCCCACAAATACAGACTCCTCGACCGCTGCAAACAGGTTGATCCTTGTGTGACTTGCAACTCTCAGAAGGAAATTGATCTTCATCAAAGTGACATTTATTCTCATCACACTGGAAACACTTGGCATCTAGAAAAGTTTCATCTACACACTTCCTTTTAGATCCTCTGCTGTCATCACACTGACAGCTGCAGTTTCTGTGTATATGAATTTTAGTGGTTTCATTGAAACCAATAGGTTTGATTATTGCATAGCTTTTTCCTTCTGTGACATCACATTTTTTCATTGTAACTGTTACATTGAAAAGAACCTTAATTTGAGAGAGAAAGAAAATATATTCATATGTCTTGATTATTTTTATTACCAGTATTATATCTGTTAATTATATTTTGAATCAATAATATACTCTTATAGAAATTAATATTTATAAATTACATATGCACTCTCTTTCATACATAGACATAACATCCTTTTAAAGTTTCATTTGTTTCCTAATTAATGAGCTAGAGAGTTAAAAGGATGCAATGACTGCTGCTTGCCTACATTGTACCATTAAGTGGACATGGGTTTAAGCCTATTTGAAATGTCTACTCCAATTCTGATGATTAATTTATGTCTTCAATTGATTTCTTCACAAACTTAAGAGAGAATAGACCATTTTTTGGACTCAGCCCTTAAAATATGGGGTTACTGAATATTTTGCATTAGTGATAGACCAAATAAACTAAAGGTTTAAAACCCTGAGATGAGATGTTCAAATGAGCAATTTTTATTTTGTTCTTATTTTCTAGGGGCCCAAGTAAAATTTCAGAATTAAATTTTAGTTTATACATGGTGTTGGAAGAAAACATGAGGCTTTCTCTCATGTTACTCAATGGAAAAAGATTTAGGACTCTGACTCTTGGATCTCAAGATCTCAATACAAGGTCACATGTTTGTCTCCGTGAAGATGTTAGCCCAGAGCTAAGGATCTGGGCTGGCAGGAATTGGTTTCCCTCATGAAACAACAGAATTCCTTTCTCCTGCCAAATTTTTCCTTTTTCTCTATTTTTTTCTTTTTGCACAACACAATTGGTTTGTGTCTTTATATTTGTTAACACACCTTACGATCTTCAGGTACTTTGGAAATAAAAAGGTTAATGCTTTTTCCATGTTAGACTGAGATCCATTACAATTTGAAAATAATTTGTGCCAGGGTTTTTGGTTGGAATGGGGATATCTAAATCTCTATCGATCTATAGAGAGATTCATATAGATATATAGAGAGAGAGATGGAGATATATATATATGGAATATATATATTCTATTCTATTCATGTATTCCATTCATAAACTATTAATAGACATATTCTTAGAATGTGTCTATTCATAACATATCTATCCATATATATCTGTTCATATATATATATATATGAATCTCTGTCTATATAGATATATATCTCCATCCCAACCAAAAAGCTTTGCACAAATACATATACATACACACACATACACAAACACACATACACACAATGATATGAAAGATCTAAATTCAGGCTTATATATTATATATATGCATTAGGAATTAAAATCAGTGTCATAATGTTAAAATCAATACAGCTGGTGGTGTACTTGAAATGTTTTTTGTCTTTAAGAATGTTAAGGATTAACAGATGTACAGAATAATGTGGTCACTACCAATATTAATAGTAGAGCAACACTTTGGATTTATGTAATTCAGAGGTCATATGACTCTTCCTGAGAGTCAAACTATTTATACTACTTGGTTGAAAGTGAGGGGAAAGAAGAGATGTGGATAAAGAGAAAGAAAAAAAATGTAAGAAGTAAGAAAAGCGATTCTGCCAAGACCAATTTTGATAGGAAAAACTTCCAAGAGGGTAAGCCTTTCTCTGAAAGTAACTTAGTGCTATCTTTTGCTAGCACCAAGTTTTCTCTATATTTAATGGAAATCAAATAGGTATTTTGTTAACTGCTATATTATGTCTTTTGAACAAAATCTAAGGAGTGATTATGGAGGAGCCTACAGAATTAGAAACTAGCAATAATTAATTTCAAATAAAAGCTTGTTGGAGCAACTATACTACCTGCAGAAATTCTAAACTTCCCAAGAAGGAAAAACTATTCTAACTAAACAGAAAGAAAGAGTCTCTTTTATTCAGTCTTAGAATCTTAGGACCTTTTATCGCTTTCAATAGCTCTTCTTCTTCTTCCTCCCTATAGCATGACATTGAAATAATAATTACATCATAGAACCTTAGAGATAGAAGGAAGAGGGATTAGAAATATTCGAGTCCAAGTTATTCATTTAAAAATGAGGCAACTGATGCATCAAGAGGTAAGTGACTCACTGAAAATCACTTCATCCAACAAGAATTCCCTTTCAAAGCATATTTCTGTGTGTTTACTTTCTATTGTGCCGATCCTGGGAGAATCCCTATCTTCTCTGGTCCTATTTCCTGACACTGCTATAATCTGGGCCTCTCTTTTCCATATTTCATCCTTTTTAGTTAAATGTTGACCCTTCTTTTTTATTGTTCTTAACACATTTCCTTACCTCCTCCTAGATCATTGTGAGTGTATTGGGACGATCACAAAGTGAAAGATTTTGGAATTGTTAGTTTTATCAACTGCTCCATCACTTCCATTCTATTCTGTGGCTTATTACCTTCAATTTCACATTTACTTTGAGAATTTTCAGATTTGAAACCAAAAAGAAAGTATCATCATCATAAGTATAGACACTACTTGTTTGATGAGATGCGATTTCCTAATATATATTCTGTGACGCCTAAGTTTAAAGTTATTATTAAGTATTTAATGTAATATATATCTATTTATTTTAACTTGAGAGTTTGAGAGAACAGTCAATGGAGATAAAAACAAGTAGGGACTTTGCAAAGAGACAATAAAAATTACATCGAAGTGTAAACAAGATCATTGGAGTCAGTAGCAAGTAAAGTTTTTCAGAATGGTTTAATTTTCTGTGGGAAAGCATGCTGAAGAACTTAGTTTATGTTAAATGGGAAAAACGCACACCCACATACCTCGTCATTGCTTGTCACATTTCCACATCCGTCTGTGCCTGGCTTTCTGGTCCCATCTGGGCAGATGGCAGTAATGTTAAAATAGATGCCTTTTGCCTGGTTTTCCACCTGAACTTTCACTTCTGAAATGAGTTTCTACAGAGACATCATTTTTTAATTGTATACGATAGCAGTTTCAAATGTAAGCAACTAAACAGAGTCAGGCTTATTAAACCATTCTAGATTTAATTTTTAACTAAATCAAAGGGTCTGTTTATAAAAAGTATCAATAAGAACGGTGTTTCCACATAATGACCCAATTATATTTGAAATACATAAGAAATACTGAAGGACTGGACTACCTGCATTTAAATTGCTCTATTTTTTCGCATATTTCTATGACTATGGTTTTGATCACTTCAAAGCTATTTCTCACTTAGCCTGTGTTACAAAAATAATCATTTTTAATCCAATAATATTTATATTTTGTGATGAAATTTAAATAAAACATTGAGAACACATATATCATCACAGAAGGTAAATCTTAGCTAAAAATCTGAAACATCCTTCTGACATTTACAGCTGTTAAAGAAATGTTTCAGTTTCAAACACTTTAGACTATCACAAAAGCTAAAATGCCTTATTGATACAGAATTGAAACGTAAATTTTTGGGAGGCCATGTCTATATTGTAGGCATAAGAATTACTTGCCAGATATGGATCTGTCAATTCTCAAAGAATGGCCTAGGATTTTTGCCAAGTCCCTGGGGTTCACTTGTATCAATCAAATTTGTTCCAATGCTTAATGCTAAAATGGGGCCCTTTGCTAAGCAGAAAACGATGCACTCATTTATTCACTCATTTATACAATCATTCAAAAAGCATCTATGTAATGTCTATCATGTATCATGCATGGACTAATCTTTTCCATCACAATCTCTGAGTTCCAAAAGTTTTGGCTACATTAAAGATATACTGTAGATCTGTCTGTATTTTATCTCATAAAACTAAGAGTCTACCACAGACAAAACTCCTTAATTTATACTTGTAAACAAAAGGAAAGGGAAAAGATGAAGTATGTACCTAAGGAAAGAGAGTGAATAGCAGGGTATAGAGAAAAAAAATAATTTCTAATGGCTTATAATTCTTTAAGTGAGTAATTTCTCTTCTTCAACTGTATTATTGATAAAGAGAGTTGTGCTTACTGATTAATAACTGATCATGGTATTATGGTAGTAAATCTTTAGAACAAGATACTTCCTCAAATTAGTAAATTTTATTTGGATTAGGTAAGACTATGTCAGCCACATGTTTTATCTCCCAGAGAGCTCCTTCCTTATTTTCATTATTCTTGGGAACAAACTACAGATGGGAATGAATTGTACCCGCATTTGATTTTTATTGATAAGAAGTCCCTCCAGTCATAATATTCTTTTTTAACAGTGAGAAAGAAATATAATTAAAGATGCTCTTCCTAACATTCATCCAACATAGTTTTCAGACAGAACAATTCCTTGGCAAAAAAAAAAAAAAACTCACAAGATTTATTTTCCTTTTAAAAGAAGAAAGTTTAAACAAATCCTTCATTTTCTAGCCCATGTCCTGACTTTCCCTTTTGTACCTGAGTTGAAGTCAAATGCTACATGGAGAAAATAAGAGAAGCTTGAGGTTTACAATGCTTGGGCTACTATTTCTGCTATTCAACTCTACTGTGTCAGGAAGGGTATCAGAGAATTTTGGGAAGTGAGACTTGATCAATGGTCGATAAACTCAAGGTAGAATAAAGCATATCTTTGGACACTATGTTAAAAAAAAAAAGACAAACAGGTGATATCATATAGGAGGAAGACCCTGGAGTTAAGGAATTCCCAGGTTCTGATCCTGCTTCTGCTTGTAAGCTATTTGACATTTGGGTAACTTGCTCAAGTTCTTTAAAGTTCTACAAATACACAATGGGAATACTAACACCTGCCTTATTGGTTAGTTGTGAAGATTAAATGAGCTCATGGATAAAAAGTAACTGGCTCTTAGGGTATTAAAATAAAAGTCATTATTATTACAATATCTTAACAGAGACTATTCCATCCAGGAATGAAAGAGCAGATGTTTCTTTAAATCTTCGCATTTGGCACCCACTCTTCATAGACAGGACGGCATACAACTGCCAACTCAATAAAACAGTCTATCTCTTCAGGTGATTCTTTTAATCAAATTAGTTTGATAAAACTGCTAAAATAACTGATTGAACAATGATGTGATTGATCTAGGAGACCTCGACAGAGTCCTCTTGGTAATCTCTATATCCCAAATAGTTCATTTTCCCTGACATGTTGCTGCTTTAAATAACAGTGTGGATTTCTTACTTTATCTTTACGACATAGGAAATTGTGAAATTTCTTGGTAATAAAGTGTATTCTATAACTATGATTTGGTGACTCACTGAACATTTGATTTGGAAGGAAATTTAGATAGCCTCTAGCCCAACTTGAGTTTACTTACTACCAGTGAAACACAGTGAGGCACAGAGAGCTGAACTGACTTTCACAAGGTTCCATGGCTAGTTAGTGGTAGAGCTAGAGCTAAACTCAGCTTCTGAATTTCTAATCTAATGTTCTTTCCACCACTCTTCTCAAGATGATAGGGCACTACTTTGTACCTTGCCACAGAAATTGGGGTTAAAAGTTTATTTGAAAAAATTGTGTATAATATATACATACCTGATAGGCTTCTACTACCAAATTATTGAGGTTTGCAGCCTTTGATTCTATTTCACCAGCAATTGTGCCAGGCAAGAGGGGTAGAAGGTCCTAGAAAATATACCAGTACATTTACTTAATGACGATAGTATACAATGGTTTAGCAATCACCAAATATTAAAAATTCTTGTAGTTATCAGTGGAAGGTGAGCCATTTCATTACTCAAAACCTGTAAGACAAAAGAAAAATGTAAGCAACCAAGTAGGCCAGCCAAAACATAGACATGTGATATGGTAGTGTGTGAATGTGTATGTGCATGAGAGTGTGTTCGTGCACCAATTAACATGCTGACCTAAAAACCTAATCAAAGTACAGACCAGTATTTCCCAAAGTATCTTCCATGGAACATAGTCCTAAGAGATTTTAAACTTGAAAAGGATTGTGAGGGTGAATAAGTTTGGGAAGTTCTGCATATGATTTCTTCCACTTAGAGACTCAAAATGCTCACTTGAAAATGAAAGATTCAGAGAAGTCCTGCAATTCAGAAATAATTTAGCATTATTTAATGCAGTATTTCTCAACATTTCTTTAGTTACAAAACTCTTTTTTCTGTAACATATATAAATATTTTACAGAACTACTGTTCCATGGCACAACCTTTAGGACATGTTGACCCAAACCAGAGCAAAAAATCATAGTTACAAGTGGACGCTTCAGGGAGCAGGTGTTCTTGATGGATGGTACTTAATAATTATGGAGAAGATTCTAGGTATTCCTATTGAGAAAATGAGAATTAGCAAAGGCTTAAAGGTTTACCTGACTTGTAGATGAAGTAAGAAGAGAGAGGAAACCAGTCTGACTGGCGTGAAAGGTGCATATTTATAGGAATTAGATTATGAGAAGTCTTGAAATCCATTTATACGCTCATTTTCCCATTCACAAGTATCATTAAGTTTCTCTGTATGCCAGCCACTACCTAGACACTAACAATTTGGTATCTTAGATAACAGTGAAAATATATCACTTGTAGATTTTTAAAATCCATTCATCTAAACCATTATTGAGCACCTACTGTGTATCACTTTGGAGATGCTAAATTGCTAGGCCATACAGTTGCCATCTTAAGGATCTCACAGGTATATAAATGAAAATTTCAAAAAACAATGTACACATGAAGCAATAGAGGTATAATAACTTAATGAGAGGGATACTCAGCAAGCATTTGAGGGCTGGGGAAGGTTGTCAGAGACTATTTCCTGGAGGAGGTGACTCATGAGCTGTGTCTTAAAGGATGAGTAAGAGTTAGCCAAGTAAGGAGGGAGAAGGGCTTCCAGGCATGGGGGATAGGTAGCAAGAGCAAAGGCACAAGGAAGAACAGAGGAAAGAAAGAATCCGGTGAGTGCGTGCACAGGAGAATTAGAAGAATGGCTGGAGGGACAAGTGTAAGGCAGAGAATAGTGAGGGATGAGGCCAGAGAGGCAAGTGGGGACCAGATGGTCTCTTAGGCCACGCTAAAGACTTGATCCCCTAAATTAGAGGGAACCACTGGAATATTTTACTCTAGGGAGTGCTGTGGTCACACTTGTGATTTAAATAGATCCTGCAGCCAGGTGGATGATGGATTCGGGAGATGGGCTAGGAATTTGTTACAACCCTGACAGAGGTTATTGATAAAACTATCTCTGGGCAGCCAAAGTAGGTGACTGTAAGGGCAAACACAGGACTTACAGCAGAGCTTCTCAAGCTTTCAGAGCCTGTTGATTCTTACTCTGCACACAATTCAATTAATAATAAACCTGGTTTTATGGTTTATCAGTCATTGGACATTTTTTTAAAGGAGTAGGGAGAAACTACTAGAACCAATAAGACTGTCAAGAAATAATAAATAGCAGAGATAGACGAGGCAAAAGCAGTAAAAAGCTGAACAATAATTTGAAATTCAACTATTAAGATTAGAGGTTAAGAACACAGGATTTAGGCTATTAGGGAAGTTTGGGCAAGTATATAACCTCCCTAAATGTATTTCCTCATCTTTACAAATGGGCATATTAGTAATACTGCCCACATTGTTATGAGTTGTTCAGAGTATTAAATGAGTCAATATTAATAAATTCAGTGCCTGACAATAGTAAGTACTCAATAAGTGGAAACTGTTACTGTTGTTAATAAAGTGGTTTGGGGATTTAATTGGGGCCAGAGCCCTACTTCTGTGGATATTAACAGCTGTTACATTAAAAAGGGGTTCCATGGTATAAAATTTGGGAAAACAGGGAATTAAATAAAGTTTCACTAAAGATTTCTAAGGGAAGAAGTAGGATGATTAAAGTAGTGCTTTTGGATGATAAATATGGCAGTTGGGTATTAGAGAAACTGGTAGAGGGAACACCAGCTTTGTAGCAAATGCAAATGGGTTCAAGTATTTGTTGAAGCTGAAAGAAAACGTAGTCTCTTTGAAGCATTAAAAAATAAGTAAAAGACATTAGGAGTGGAAGGAAGAAGCAAATACAATGAAGAGATGAAGAAGACAACCTGATCAGACATGTGCAGTGAAAATTAGGGTATCAGAGCATCATCTTTTCTTTATAGAAAAGAGAGTTTCCTGGAAGAAAGAATCTAAAAGACTGAAATAAAGCTATAGCAGGGGCCGGCCTCGTGGTGCAACAGTTAAGTTTGCACGTTCCGCTTTGGCGGCCCAGGGTTCGCCGGTTCCGATCCTGGGTGCGGACATGGCACTGCTTGGCAAGCCATGCTGTGGTAGGCATCCCACATATAAAGTAGAGGAAGATGGGCACAGATGTTAGCTCAGTGCCAGTCTTCCTCAGAAAAAAAGAGGAGGATTGGCAGCACATGTTAGCTCAGGGCTAATCTTCCTCAAAAAAAAAGCTATAACAGCATCACAGAAGAACAGTTCAATGTGGAGTTGGGGGGAGTGGGTTCCATGACACTGCCAGAGTAACAGAGATGCCAAATATCCATTCTGCTTGTGGATCTCACCTGGCCAGAAGGATTCTGGACAAAACTAAGATGTATTCTTATGGAGGAAGACTTTGACTGGGTCAACTGCTTCCTTGGCTCTTCTGTTCCTTTATTAGATGACCTACACCAAATCTAGCTATGTGCTATTGAAAATTAAGCTGATATTCCTCAACGTAATCTATTACAAGGATGTGCCCATGGACCAGAATATATGTAGGTCTCTGAATATGAAAGGCGTAGTTGGAGTGTGAACAACTTTTCACCTGACTAAAGTCTTCTCCATATTGTTGCAGTCAGTATCACTCTAAGTATCAGTGCTCACCCTTGGTTTTAAGTGTTCCAAACATAGATAGAATTTATACTTAAATGCTAACTTAAGACAACACGTAGTATATATTAGTTAATACAGTATTAAATTTAGATTGTAAAAAGTACAATAACTCAAGAATCTTTACCTGGGGTTCAAAGAAGTATTCTAATTTCAACTACCAATGCAAACATTTTAATTTTTATATTTTGGGAATTAACATACCTTATACCAATGAAACTGTTTTCCTTGAACTGCAAATATGACGTTAATGTTGTTGTCTATTAACTTTTCTGAAAGTTGGCCTAGTGAGGGATGTTCCTGGAATGGATAATGACATAAAGAAGGGAGTGAAATTTAGTGGCTCAATTCCACACATATCCAAACATCTATTATGAAGAAAACCATATGACTGACAAAAATGTACTGTTGGGAAGGATTATGGTTTTAACTAGAGGCATTTAAATTCTTTTAAAAAATAAGATCAAGAACAATGTATTAAGGATATTTGTAGACAAAATCTCCATTAAAAACCTACAACAGATGAAGCGGGCTGAATTAAACATAGTACAAAGAATGTTCAGCACCTTTTTGGATTAATATTGGACTCAAAGTGATATAATTGAAAGACAATTTAATATTCTGAAACAGACACATTAGTGACAATCACATTCTGAAGTGGAGTTCAGCACAAGTGTTGAAATGCAATATATGCATGTGTATATACACATGTATACATACATATATATTTGATATAGAACATGATATAGTATAAACTCTGTTTAAAAGCAGAAAACCCTGTACTCAAAAATCCCAGGTTATCACTTTATGATAAAAATTCTCTTAGGTCCATCCTCTGTATCATGTGAATGACATCTGCCTTATATGATTGTTGGCAAGATTAAAAAGATAACAATAGTACATGAATTATTTAGTGCAGTTTCTTGCATATATTAAGCACTCAAAACTAATGGCAATTATCATGATTTTTACTTTCAACAGCTCATATAAAGTATAGGTTACAGATCTCTCAACTTATTATCATTATACTTTATATATATTATAAATCTGTTTTACTTTGATAAATAAAACTTATGTAGAGCCAACTGTGACATTCTTTCTGGTAGTTAGAAAACTGGGGATGAGTAAGACAGGGAGAATAAAATTTAGTTCAGTAAACATGAGAAATCTGACAACTATAGAAATTGCTATCTACAGTTATATAGTTAGACGTAGTACTTGATACTTTTCTTTCTATAAATGCTTTTCCATATATTCAAGTGATGATCTCAAATAACAACTTCATACCTAGACACCTCTAAGAGAAATAATGTCAAACTTCACCTGCAGTGGTCCCACCTGTTTATTGGTGCCTAGTTGCATCAGCCAACAATCGTGTGACTGAGCCTAATTAGTATCATGGGATTCAAGTTCAAATTACTCTGTAGTTTTCACTTGCCCTTTCAGCCTCCAATGCTAACTGTGTTTTCTTCAAGGTAAAATTTTGCTAAACCGTCTTGCTTAATATTTCTGTCTTTTGGCAACTATGTGAACTTAGTAAAAGAGTTAATTTTACTAGTTTCACTTATAGCCCAAGTTCTGTAACCCACATATTAAACTTATATACACAGACATAAGAGATAGCCTTATGCTTAAAGATACTATCACTAACATGAGTAACTGCGATGATCTGAATATTCATGTCTCCCTCCTTAAATTCACATGTTGAAATCCTAATCCACAAGGTGATGGTATTAGGAGGTGGGCCTTTGGGAGATGATTAAGTCATGAAGGTGGAGCCCTCATGAATGGGATTAGTGCCCTTCTAAAAGAGGGCCAGTTGAGAAAGCTCCCTCACCCCTTTCTCCATGTGAGGTTACAGCTAGAAGATGTTGTCTATGAATCAGAAAGTAGGTTCTCATCACACCCTGAATCTGCCAGCGCCTTTGATCCTGAACTTCCCAACCGTCAGAACAGTGAGGAATAAATTTCTGTTTTAAGCTACCCACTTTATAGGGTTTCGTTATAGTATCCCGAATGGACTAAGATAATAACCATAACAAATATCCTTTTGCCTTTATATAATCTATAATTGCTTTGGTAGAAACAAATCAGGTTTTCATGAACTGCATTTAAATGTGATATGAAACCAATTTATGAAGAGGTTTAAAAAGTATTAGCACATGGATTTTCAGAAGAAAAATTCTGCTCAGAGCAATTCTTGAGAATATAATTTTAAAGTAATAGAAAAAGAATCCTCAAAATATAAATTCTGACATATAAATTCTTATTCCTTATTCCTAATATGTATACTCTTAAAATAGATTTATGACAGTTTGCACAATGCTAGTAAATTAAAGAGGACAAGTAAAGGAAGGGTAAATCTAGCTGTATTTGGAAATTTTTTTTAATGGCAACAACTACTTTTCAAATATTTTTGCTTTGACAAAAAATAATCACAGTTTGCCAAGAATTCCCCCTTCTTAATTTTTAAAACCATTCATATTTTAAGGAAAATTTAATCCATATGTTTTTAATCAGCTTACACTTAACTCACATAAAATCAATATTTAAAGAATAGTCCAAAATGTAAGCAGCTTTTGGAGCCTTCTTAATCTCTTTCCTCTTTTCAAAAACAGGAAGTCACATTGACCAAAAGTACACAAAATTTAAATCTAGAAAGTTCTAGTTTGGTCAGAAGCTCATTAAGAAGGTCAGTTGGATTTTTAAGCTTAAAAGAACACATTATTTTGAATGCTAGAAGGAATCTGTTTTAAAAGAAAATTCCAAGTACCTCGAGGCAAATTTGTTAAAATTACAAATGTTTAGCAGATGTTTAAATAAACCACTGTTGACAGGAGAGCTGTGGATTAATGACCATTCTTGAAGCCCCTTCCCCTTTCCTCCAGGAAGCGTATTATCATTTAAGTATTTTATCTTTTATGTCTTGTATTTCACTAGCAGGAACACTCCATCTTAGCCAGCTGTTCTGGTGACATCACTCCTCCTCATCTCTAACTCCCCCTCTGTCTAAGCCATTACATATTGTTTCTCTAAGCTCTGAAAAGAATTAGTGGAGATAATAGGCATTTCAAGAGGCAAAAGGGAGAAGGGAAAGCAATGTGCCAAGACAGCTGCTAAGTAATTAAGGGGAAAAGGATTCCTTTCATAGTTTTCTTCTTCACCAACACCTTCGCTGTGACTTGTGGGAAATGACTTATAAATGTCAGAAGGGAAAAGAAGATAAGAAAGATTCATTGGGAGCAATTTTGGTTAAAGAGATAACTGTGTAGAAATATATGGGAGAATTTTAATAATGTGCCTATGAACTGCCGAAAAAAGAAGTGTCTAAGATTCTTTTCATAAAAGTAGAATTCATAATAAAAATTTTCATAAGATAATGTAGAATTTATAGTATTGACCATCATAATGAGATACAAAAACACCCCCAATGTCTTGATTAAATAAAGTACTCAATTATCTGGATTTTTTTTTGCAGTTTACTTTTTAGGGGAAAGAGACAACATGAAAGCAGTCTGATAGCAGAGATTTATTTAGAGATGAAGACTTTGAATTATGTGATCTCAGTCCCCATCTATCGCAACAGCCTGTTTTCTATCTACATGGCTGCACAATAATAATTGCATAGACCAGGGTTTCTCATCAGTGACACTGTTGACATTTTGGGCCAGGTATTCTGTGTTGCAGGTGGGGAGCTGTCCTGTGCATTGTAGGATATTTAGCAACATCCCTGGTCTCTTCCTACTAGATGCTGGTATCTCCCTCCTCCCGACTTTGGAACAACCAAAATGTCTCTGTAGGGTGAAATGTCCTCTGGGGGGCAGAATCACTCCAGTTGAGAACCATACCAAGAGCAGGGGCTCTCGAAACCGACCACATGGGGCTTCAGCTCCTGGCTCTGCAGTTACTAGTTATGTAATACTGCGCAGCTGTCTTAACCTCTCTGCCATCTAGTTTCCATACATTTAAAACAGGTATAAATACTAATGTCTACCTCTCAGAGTTATGGTGGGGATTATTGGTTAATATATGTAATAATTACAGTGTGTTCACTTACCATTGTGTAATTATTAAGCTCAGACTAATGGTGAGTAGGGGCTCATGTCCTGATGTCACACTGCTTGGCATTTACTATAGGCACTACTACCTAGGGCTGTGTGACCACAGACAAGATCCTGATCCTTTTAGTACTTCCATTTTCTCGTTTATAAAGTGGACGTAGTAGCAATATCTACACCTCAATGCGATGGTGGGTGGTATTAGGTAAATGTAAAGGGGCAAACACCATAGGACTGCTTAATAAAAGTCAGCTTTCAATGAAAGACTGCTTAATAAAAGACATTTGGAGACAATTACTGAAGTCTAGATGTTGGGCTCCTGCATGTGCTTTGTTTGACTTGCCTAATTTATTTACCCTTTGTACCTGGCCCCTAAAGTGTTTGAGTTTGCGACTCCTGCCAAACACAGTATCAATTATAATCATGATATCCTAGTTACTGAAGGAGGGGCACGGACTTATAATTTTTGTAAGCTTTTCAATGAGAGTGGTAATAAAAATTTTCTGCTTAAATATAATTTAACCAAAACATAATTTAATTGGAACATTCCATTTCATAAATATTTTCATCAAATTTTGTTTTTATTGTGCCACTTTTGTAAACCATTATTTTTTTCTCATTTTTAGAGCCATTATAAAAACAGTGCCAGGCTACTTTGAGCCTGGCCAAGGTGATTCTGTGTGCAAGTTTTGCTTTCAATTTAAAAAAACAAAATAAACTAAATATTGTTTGCGGAGATCATTTCCTGGCTATTTTTCTGCAAGCATGAGAAGCATTCAAATTAGGTCTATTCTAAAGTTGTTATTGAAGTCATTATTGTTCTCATAGCATTTACAATTTAAAACAGATAGTTCAGAGAGCAGTAAGCTGATATCAGGCATTTTGTTAGTTTTAAAAGTTGTGACAATATTTTAAGAAAACCACATGCACGTAAACTTAAAATTTTCTAGGTGCATTCTGCCTGGGTGGCATTTCCTTTACTTTCCTGATTGTGCATGTTCATAAAACTCAAAGGTGCTAACACTCTAAACTAATCTTATCTCTTTAATTAATTTAAAAAGTTGCATTTTTAATGTAACATTAAGCAGAGAAAAACAAAATAAGAATCAGGAAAGAAGATAAAAAGTTTTACTATATGCTTTAGTTTAGCCATATTAGAATTACTGTTATTGTTCTCATAATTACAAATCAGTAATTTCCATGAGGCTAAATCAATAGTAATTTGGTTTTCGATGGCCTCTC